AGCGCAGGGGGACAGCAGAGGGGACAGTGCAGGGGGACAGCAGAGGGGACAGTGCAGGGGGACAGCGTGTGAGGCCAGCCAGAACTGCTCCCTGATAAGGGAACAAAGAGCCCTGAGGTGTGACAAGGCCTCTCCATGCTCTTTGACTGCTCCAAGCAGGAGACAAATCCCATGGGATCAATGATTAACACGGGCCTCACATCCCCCAGAGCACGGGGGACCCCTCCCCCCTGCCCCCCCAGTCCAGGCTGGAGGGGAACCGGTGACAATGACTCAGGTGGGTTCCAGGCTGATTTTCCCTGCGGGGTTTTCCCACTCACCGTCTCATCGTCAGGGATGGGGATCTTGCTGTCAAAGTAGGTGGTGAACGGCTCCCCCTCGTCGGTGTCGGGGGGCTGCAGGGGGCTCCTGCTGCTGGAGATGGTGCTGACCACCCCCCCGAGACCCCCAGGCTCCCCAGACACATCCTCTGCAGGGAGAGAGGGAACGGGGGGAGTCAGCATTCCTGGAAAGGCAGGAAACCCTGCCAGGGGCTGCTGAGCCCCACAGCACAGCAAGCCAGCACAGCTGATGCTAATTAAGTGATAAAGAGGTAATTAAATTAAAATATCCCACACTGCTGCACCCCTTGGAGCCTGTTGTGTCCCCAGAATCTCCTCTCCCACCCGGGTCCAGGCTGGAGCCAGGGATTTATTTATTTATTCCAATTAATTTTAAAAATCCCCATCCTGGGGCTGATGTGGACCAGTGTCCCCAAAACGATTAACTGGGGCTGGAAATCTGGGACTGCTCCTGCACCATTATCCCAGCCTGTCCTGGCTGGATCCCGGGGAAATCCAACACCTGGACAGGCAGGAGATGTCACACAACCCCACACTCTCCCAGCACCGAGAGAATTCCAGCAGGGAGGAAAGCGTGCAGGGCCACCCCAGCACATTCCCACCCTCTCCCAAGCCAAACCTGGATCCCAAATCTCCAAGCAAAACCTGGATCCCAGCTCTGTCCCAAGCAAATCCTGGATCCCAGCTCTGTCCCAAGCCAAACCTGGATCCCAAATCTCCAAGCAAATCCTGGATCCCAGCTCTCTCCCCAGCCAAACCTGGATCCCAGCTCTGTCCCAGGCAAAACCTGGATCCCAATTCTCTCCAAGCAAAACCTGGATCCCAAATCTCCAAGCAAATCCTGAATCCCAGCTCTGTCCCAAGCCAAACCTGGATCCCAGCTCTCTCTCCAAGCAAATCCTGGATCCCAGCTCTGTCCCAAGGCAAACCTGGATCCCAAATCTCCAAGCAAATCCTGGATCCCAGCTCTCTCTCCAAGCAAATCCTGGATCCCAAATCTCCAAGCAAATCCTGGATCCCAGCTCTCTCCCAAGCCAAACCTGGATCCCAGCTCTGTCCCAAGCCAAACCTGGATCCCAGCTCTGTCCCAAGCCCGTACTCACTCCCGCTCTCCCCACGGGGCATTTCCTTCCCTCGGGAGCTGCAGCTCTGGGCTCAGGGGGCTCGGACAGGGCAGCTCTTTGCCCGATTTTCCTATTGCATCACCAGCGGGCTCCTCCTATTCCCGGCCTCCCAGAACCCTGCCAGGACCTCGTTTACACAAGGGATTTGGAGCTGCCCAGGTGTGCAGAGATCCCTGCTCAGGAGATTTCTCCCAGGACATTCCTGCCCGGGCCAGGCTGGTTAGGCTGGTTCAGGCAGGCTGAGTGACCCCGGGGTGCTGCAAACCCCAGCCTGGCACCCCGGGGCTCTTCCAGCAACCCAAACAAGGGAATTAATGAAAGGAAGGAGGGTGATGAGGGCAGCCCCCCCCCACCCCTGCCCTCTTTCCTGATCCAGTCTCACCGTAGGACGCTTTCCGCTCCATGTCCAAGTTTCCCATGGTGGAGCCCTTCCCCTGCTCTGGGAACTGCTTCAAACCGGACACATTGGCTGTGGAAAAGGGAAAAATCGGGTCAGGATGGAAAATCAGGGCTGGCAGGAGAGGGGGATAGAGACAGAGTCACTTCCCAGGCTCTTTCTCAGCTCTGAGGAACCTCACAGTGATGGACTCACGTCCTGAGCTCTTTTCCAGCTCTGAGGGTCCCAGCAGGGATGGGAGAGGGAATTTAGGCTGGGACCTGCTAAGAAAGTCCTGCTGCTCTGCCCATGGGAGCCCTGATGGGCACCAACGTGCCAGGAGTGTCCACAGGCAGCTGGGGCTGATTGTGAAACTCCGGAGGAGGAAACAAGCGGGGAATTCCCTCGATGTGGAAACCTCATCTCATCCCCCCCTTCCCAGCACCTCCAGCACTCCCAAAGCCTCCCCTGCGCCCCCCAAACCCCTCCAGGCCCTGCCAGCCCCCCAGGCAGGGGGAAGTGGGTTAAGGGTAGGTTTAACTCCTTCATCACAGCCTGGGTTTAAATTCAATCCAGGCAGGAATGAGCCAGGATCTGGAATGGGGCTGGGGAGGGACCTGGGGATGAGGGATCTGGGGAGGAGGGACCTGGCATCCTCTGAGCTCCAGGAGCTCAACCCCCCTCCAAGGACAAGCCAATGTCCCTCACTGAGGACTTCTGGCCTGTAAAGCACCGAATCCTCTGTCAAATTCCATCAGATTTGAAGGAGATTGCCATAAAACACGGGAATATTGGTTCAGTCAGGATGTAAAAGGAAATCACCAGCCAGAGATTCAATTTAAGTGAACTCCAGCTCTGACCCCTCACACATCATTTTCTTTCTTTTCTAAGCACCAAACCCCACAGCTTCCATTTAAAAAACCCCACTGAAGTTTAGCAAAAAGCCAACTCCTCTCCAAAACGTGATCCAGGAGGAACGAGCTTACCCCGGCAGCGAGTCCCACCAGAGCTCCAGCCCAGGATGAGGCAAGGAGGGAGATCTTGGGGGAACGTTCGTTGTGGACCCAGCTCAGTATCTGACCCCAGCCCCAGCCCAGCCCGGGTGGGGGCAGGACAGGGCCCCTTATCTGCCCCAGCAGCTGCTGGGCTGGGGGCTGGATCCACACCCGCCCCAGGGCACGTGTCTCTCATTCATTCACCCACAGGAGATTCTCTGAGCACGGGGGCAGCCTTTTCCATGAGGGAATTCTCCCTAAAATCCAACCTAAAGCTCTCCTGGAAACCTTTTTGTCTCATCCTGTCACCTGGGAGCAGAGCCTGACCCCACCTGGCTGTCCCCTTCTTGCTGGGCAGGTGTGGAGAGCAAGGAGGTCCCTCCTGAGCTTCCTTTCCTCCAGGCTGAGCCCCCTCCATCCCTCCCAGTGCTGCAGCCCCTTCCCCAGCCCCATTTCCAGCCCCTTCCCCATTCCCAGCCCCATTCCCAGCCCCAGCCCCTCCCTGTCCTGCACTGGGGACCCAAAGCTGTCCCCAGGTCCAGGCTGGGGCCTCAGCCGTGCCCAGCACCGTGGGATGGGCACTGCCCTGGCCCCGTGGCCACGCTGTGGCTGACACAAGCCAGGGGCCTGTGGCCTCCCTGCCCACCTGAGCTCACACCCAGCCCCCCCCCAGGTCCTTTCCTGCTGCTCTCCCCCTGGCCTGGAACATTCCATGGAGCCACGCTGAGCCAAGGGCAGGACCTGCACCTGGCCTGGCCAATCCTCAGCCCCTGGAGCCCACAGAGCCAGCCTGGCCCAGGCTCCTGTGGGGATCTGTCCTCCTGCAGATCCTCATCCCCCAGGGCCCCTCCGAGCTGAGCCCACAGATAACGAATTAACTGAGGCCAGGGGGATGGCCAGAACTGCAAAATCCCAGAAGTTTTTATTTTATTTTTATTATTGTGTATTAATATTTATTAATATTTTTGTTATTATATTAAATATTATTATTATCATTTATTTTATTAAATCATTTGAATTGACCCCACTATTTCTGTGGCTGGGATGCCAGTCCCAGGAGCTGGGATTGCCAGTGCAGCACTCAGCTCCTTACAGAGATTCTCCAAAATTCCCTAAATTTCCATGCAGAGAATTCGGGAAGCAGGGCCCCCAGGGCTCAGTACTCACATCAGGACAATGACCAGGAAGTTGGCGAAGGGGGGGATGGCGATGATCCCGATGGGAATGGCCTTGAGCACGTCCCTGCGGAACTGCCCCAGCAGGAGAGCAGGGAACAGGGTCAGCAGCTCACACCGACCTCCCCAAACTGCCCAAACCTGCCCAAACCTGCCCAGAACTGCCCCAAACCTGCCCAGAACTGCCCCAAACCTGCCCAGAACTGCCCAGAACTGCCCAAACCTGCCCCAAACCTGCCCAGAACTGCCCCAAACCTGCCCAGAACTGCCCCGAACTGCCCAGAACTGCCCCAAACCTGCCCAGAACTGCCCAGAACGTGCCCCAAACGTGCCCCAAACGTGCCCCAAACCTGCCCAAACCTGCCCAAACCTGCCCGGAACTGCCCCAAACCTGCCCGGAACTGCCCCAAACCTGCCCGGAACTGCCCAGAACTGCCCAAACCTGCCCCAAACCTGCCCCAAACCTGCCCCAAACCTGCCCGGAACTGCCCCAAACCTGCCCGGAACTGCCTAAAACTGCCCG